TTACAACAAAAACGGCTCCCGCCTGATACTTCCTCACACTTTACTCCCAAATCGCGCTCTCGCGCGGGACTTCCTCACATTTCATGTACGCATCCGCTCTCGCGTGGGACTTCCTCGCAGTTTATTCAGACGATGCGCCCACGGCGCTCACGAATCACGCTCTCGCTTTGGCTTCTCTCACGACTTATTTGAGAATCGGGCTATCGCATGAGATTTCCTCGCGATTCATGCAGGACCCACGCTTCAACAACCCGCCTGCTGGACCTCGTCGCCTGGGCCCGCCTTCCCGACCTGTCCGCTATGGGTCTGCCCACCCGATCTGCTCGTCTGGTTCTACCACTTGTTCCCAACCATCCTGTGGTGTTGGGCCCTCGTTTGGAAGAGACGGTCCCCGCGATCCTTCCTTCCTTTCTCCTCCCCCCCTCCTCCCTCCTCCCATTCCTCCCTCTGCTCCCTCCTCCATCACCCCCCACACGTTTCGTGGTCCCATTGGGAGCTCCACCGAAGGCTCCAGTGGCGGTGTTTGCATGCGTCCCCGCCACCCCTTTCGGCACACCCCTCACACGTTTCGTGGCCCCACAGGGAGCTCCACAGACGGCCCTGGTGGCAGTGTTCGCATGCGTCCCCGCCACTGGTTTCGGCACACCCCTCACACGTTTCGTGGCCCCATAGGGAGCGAACAGTCTTGAGCGGATTGTTGTTGTTGTTGTTGTTGTTGTTGTTGTTGTTGTTGTTGTGGTTGTTGTGGTTGTTGTGGTTGTTGTTGTTGTTGTTGTTGTTACTGTTGTTGATGCTGCTGTTGTTGTTGTGGTTGCTGTTGTTGTTGTTGTTGTTGTTGTTGTTGATGCTGCTGTTGTTGTTGCTGCTGCAGTTGTTGTTATGGTTGTTGTTGTTGTTGTTGAATATTATTACTTCTAAAGAATAATTATTGTTGGGCCCCCTGGTGCACGCTCCCCCCGCCGCGCCTAGGCCGCAGCCACGTTTTCATCATTTTCGTGAGGAAGCCTCAGGTAAAACGATGTGATCCAGATCCGGTTGTTTTGTTGTAATCCGTTTTCCCTTGCAAAAAACACTATAAAATGACATTTCTTGTTCTAATATAATCAAATTTCAAGAATCCCTTGCAAAAAATAAGGTAAAGTGGACATTCGCGCGCGCAAGACGAAATCCTTCCAAAAGCTTAGTGTTCGGAGCGATTTTAACATAAAAACATCAAAAAACCAATGGTTTTTCAACAAAAAAATGTCAAAATCTCATCCCGCGCGCTCTTGCGGATTCGTAGGAAACCCAACACTTTTTAAACATTTCTGTCAAACGGGCTTTTGCGAGCAACTTTTTCGAACTTCTGCGACAACGGTTGCGCACCTGCCAGGGCCATCATCCCTGTCAAATAATACCATGCGGGACACATTCGTTTTTTCTTCGCGCGCGCACGCCGAAATCTTCAAAAACCATTGGGTTTCTTAGGAATTTTAGCACCGCGCAACATAAAATCATACGAATCGCACCGTAGGTCCTCGAAAAACATCTGTACGAATTTTCAAAATTTTCAAAAATGTTACCACAACAAGTCACTGTACCCATGCGCCAGTGTAGTAGCCACGGTCGTCCGCAGGCCACGAAGTGAAGTGTCCGAACGTCATAGGGCGGGAAGCTGGGTGTGGGTGGTGGCGAAGAGTCGTTTGGAAATGTGGTAGAGCTTGAACCGGCCCCCCCACAAAGTGGGGGTATTGGCGGGCGTCGTATGAAAACCCTGGCACTGGTGAGAACGGAGTGTCCCCAGTCTTAAATGATTGTTGTTGTTGTTGTTGTTGTTGTGGTTGTTATTGTCGTTGTTGCTGTTGCTGCTGCTGCTGTTGTTGTTGTTGTGGTTGTGGTGGTGGTTGTTGTTGTTGTTGTCATTGTGGCTGTTGTTACGGGTAGTGCAGTTGTTGTTATGTATGTTGTTGCCGATGACGGGGATGGTGATGCTGACGCTGTTGCTGATGCTGCTGATGCTGATGCTGATGCTGATGCTGATGATGATGATCAGGAGGAGGAGGAGAAGGAGGAGCAGGAGGAGGAGGAGAACGAGGAGGAGGAGGAGGAGGAGGAGGAGGAGGAGAAGGAGGAGGAGCAGCTGGAGCAGATGCAGGAGCAGGATCATGAGGAGGAGGAGGAGGAGGAGGAGGAGGAGGAGGAGGAGGAGGAGGAGGAGGAGGAGGAGGAGGGGGAATAAGAGGAGGGGAGAGGAGGAGAGGAGGAGGAGGAGGAGGAGGAGGAGGAGGAGGAGGAGGAGAGGAGGAGAGGAGGAGGAGGAGGAGGAGGCAGGAAAAGAAGAGGAGGAGGGGGAGGAGGAAAGAGAGGATGCACAGACAGGTCTACTTCGGGGAGAAGCTGCAGGACGCCCCCCAGTGGGACGCCTTCTGGCAGAAGTGCGGCGCCAAGGCTCTGGGCTTGGCGTGTGTGGGGGGGGTTAGCCCAAGGCGGGGTCAGCAGGCGAGTCCATCCGGAAGCCGAT